GAAAAATGAAACACATTGTCAACCTTGGCTCACTGATTGCCTGCAAATAACTAAGTTTGTGCCCAAGAAAGGAATGGGGAGAAATCTTTATGCTTCCCTGAGCCTTTGAGAAAAATGAAAGAATATGTAACAATTAATGTAGAGAAGTTTTTTTTTAATTTATAAGCTGCTGAATAACCCAATAGGGCTCCCTAAGCAGCATACAACAATAAAATGCAAGGCAAAATATTATAATTCCTAGATATTAAAAAAAACCCCTAACTGCTGGTAGTACAAGAGACTAGTTGTTAAAATCAAATTTCAAAATGCCTATGAAAAATGGCAGTCTTTGCCTAGCACCGAAATGAAGGTAGAGATGGCACCTGGCAAACCATTCTAGGAAGCTCATTCCAAAGCTGGGTGGCAGCCCTCAAGAAAGCCCTTCTTCTACCTGCCATCCCTTTCAATTCCTTTAGGGATAGCTCTTTCAGAAGGATCTCATGCCCAGGAGGGGGTAGGTAGGTATATATGGGAAAAGGCGGTCCCTCAAGTAACCAGGTTGCAATCTGTTTAGGGTTTTATATGTTAAAACATGCACTTTATAGTGGGCCTGGGTAATTTATATAAAATACATGTTGTATGGGCTTGTGAACTGATATTCATCACCAGCCCTCTTTTGGACCAGTTGAAGTCTTTAGACAGCCTATAAGTAAGTAATAATTGTTATTTTCTAATTCATTAGCAGATGGTTTTCTAATGTTTAACTTAATCAGTATGCATAAGTCTTAGATTCTCTTCAATCTGGTTCTGGTTTTCGCCATTTTTTGTTATATCAGTAAAAAAGCTGGAGTTAATGAAGAGTAGCCTACCATTCTAAACTCCTAGGAAGTAAACCCTTAAATTTCAGTTGGACTTATTCCTGGGTAATTAATCTGGTAGGAAGTTCTTCATCCACATTCTAGAGAGGTAACCATCTTAGTCTGTTCCAACAAAAACAGAAGTCTTATGGCACCTTGAAGCCCAACAGATTTATTTTGGCATCCAAAGCTAAGAGTGTCTATGAAAAATTATACCAGAATAAATGTGTTAAGGTGCCCTAAGACTCTTTGATGCAGTTTCCTCATATAGTGCTTGGTTGAACTGGAAGTCTCCACCACAGGATGTAGTGTTGAGCTTGGATGTCTTTAAAAAGTAATTAGACAATTTCATGGAAGATGGGGCTATCCATGGCTACTGCTCTTGATGGTTATATGGCACCTCCAGTATAGAATTATTATGATTACATTACATGTCTATACCACCCATAGCTGAAACTCTCCGGACAACACATTTAAGTCACTCATCCAGATTTCAAACAGGCCTAAGTTTCCAGGATTAGGCAGGATCAGGCACTTCAGGCTATACAGAAGCTACAGCTCACCTAAGCACACCAGCTGCCGGCCAGTGCATGAACAGGATGGTGTTATGGCATTCCTGTCCTGCTTGTGGGCTCCCCACGGACACTGGTTGGCCATTGTTGGAACGAAATACCGAACCAGAGAGGCCTTTGGTCTAATCCAGCACCACTTCTCTAATATTGAGTGCCTTTTGTGCTCTCTGCTGCAAAGGACGAATAGCCGTTATCTCTCTGGAGATAGTTTTTGCCAAGTAGACACGCGTCTTGCGCCTGTACTGTCACCTAAGTCGAAAAGAGAGCAATTGTCTATCACAAACGACCCCTCCCAGGGGCCTTCATCATCCGCTCCTTTTTTTCCTTCTTTTTCATCGAGGATGGAAACTTTAGCCACGTTCCCTGGGCTTCTGGCCGGTTTTGGCATTTGCAAGGCAGGGCTGCAGTGCCCAGCAGCGTCCGCCAGGGGATTTTGTCCATTATTCAACGGTGGGAGTCCCGGCACAGTCCGGAGCGTTTGTTGATGTCGCCGCGGCGGCGTGAGACGGGATCCTTTTTCTCCTCTTGTGTTCCGACGACACGAGGAAAGGCGAGCGGCGTGAGAATGCCCCCCTGCTCGTCACGATAAAGCGCCTGTCTGTCCGCCGGCGTTTGCTCTTTGGGATTGACTTGCGTTGGATTGCACTGGACTGTTTTTCGCCTTCCCCGCCCCCGTACTGAAATCTTGGATTGTGGACTTAAAGAAGGAGAAAGCGAGAGACTGCACCTCTTCCCAGCGTCTTTAAGGTAAGCCTGGGAGAAGCGGCCGCCACTGGACAGGCTTTCCTCAATCCCACCCCACCCTACCCTGCTTGCTTTTTTCTTTTCTTAAAACCCTCCCCCATCCACAAATCTGGGATCTCGTGTGTGTCTCCTTGGAAGCAGAGGGCGAGGGAACACTGCGCATCTTGAATTGTGCAAGAGCGTGCAGTAAAAGTTGGCACCCCCGCCTCTCTTTCTGCACTCTTTGCAGTTGCGGCAGCACAGCCCGCGCCAGCTCGTTTCCTCGGAAGCCATCCCAATGAGATTAGTTTACTCCCGAGGAAGCACGGTATAGGATTGCAGGTTAGTAGCCGCATCCTATGTGTGCTTCCTCTGAAGTAAGCCCCGCTGAGTTTAATAGGATTTAATCCTGAAAAGACTGAGAAGGGGTGTGTTGAATTGTACTTAGTGCTTTTTATTCAGTTAGTTTTAGTGGTAGAATTTAACTTATCCATTGAATTTCCAAAGTCTGGACTTTTTGGACTCTTTCAATCTCCTTTGCTCTTCTGGAAGCCTTTCTCCCCAAATCGCTTTATAGGATCGTTTGAATGAAGAGCTTGCACCCCCCCCCCCCCAGAAGTGCTTTCTTTAAAAAGCCATGCCTCGTTGGGAGTCATGTGCTCTTTCTCCATCGCCGCCGTTCACAGGAACGGGGATGAATAGCATGCGGGGAAAGAAAAAAGGAATTACGATTTAAAGCGAGCGGGTGGGGGCGACGGGAGGGGCGTTCGGCACCTGGTGATCGTTTGGGGGGGTTGCAACCGGTGTTCTGGCTATTGTACAATCTGGGCCGACGAGAGACTTTTCTTTCCTTTTGAACCTACATGCTGTTCAGGGAACTAGTCACATTACGCATGTCAACCTAATTGTGCAATCTTAGGCATGTCGCTTCTGAAGTAAGCGCCGCTGAATTTAATAGAACTTATTGTCAGGTAAGTGCTTATAGAGCGCAGCTTTAAGGTCCTTGTTCTCCAGTAGGGAAACTGGGGGGCGGGGGAGGGTCTTCTGGGGAACTGACTGGAATCCTCTCTTTGGGATCTTCTGTCAAACATCTGGATTCTCTGCCCCTCCCTTTAATGCTGTGCTAGAGTATGGGGGTGGGAGGTCTTTTTCTTTCCTTTCTGATTTATTTTTTAAGTATTTCTTTAATAAGCATGAATCAAGGGACAACTTATATAGAAGGCTGTACATTTTGCTAATGTGCCCCTTTTCAAAATACCTGGCAAAAACGAAAAGAATCACCCACCGGAACAAAAAACGATAAATAGACCTTTGTTGGCCTATTGTTAACACTCCCAAATAGCTGTAGTTGAAGGGAGTAGGTGGGAACTTGGAAATAGCATTATTTTAAAACCCTTGCTTATGGATAATTTTAAAAGTGAGGGAACATAAATTAATGAAAACAGTCTGGTTAGGAAAAAGAGTAATGTGGGGGGAAATCACATTTTAAAAAATCCCAGGTGGTGAGGGAGGGGGCATTATTTGGAGCTGTGACCAGACTATCCTTTTATCCCTACTTAAGGGATTTGCCTGGCTTCTGTTAAGGGAGTTCTTATTTTTACTGCCTTGAGGGAGTCTCAGACTGGTTATTCAGGGTCTGCTGCTTTGAATCAATTTGATTTGTATCTCTGCAGGAAAGTGAAGCCCAAACTAAAAATCGCGTGTTAACAAGCGTGGTTTTATCTGGCAGGGGCGGGGGGAGGGGAGAAAGGCTTCTATTCAAGAGCGGGGCAGTCCGGGGAGAAGAAGAATAAGGCCTTTCTTAACATTGGCCCGCAGCCTTGTCCTATCCCCACTAGGCTGCTTTAAGGCGGGAATCTCGAAAATGGAGCCCCTTTCTTCAGTGAGCAGCTGTTCAGCTATCTGTAACTGCTGGCGCTGCTGAGAGGAAAGAAGGGCCCAAAACCAAAGCTTGGGTTCTGGTGCCTTGTTCATCACCTTCTCAGGCAAAGCTGATTACAACTGGAAATGACATGCAGTTATATGAATTGAGAGGAAAGGTTGAGTTGAGCCAAGAATTATACGATGTGTGCATATTTTATAAAGTGAGCCACCACAGCTTGAGGTGAGAATTCCCCAGTGAATTCTGAGAAAAGTAGCTTTTCGGATTAGAGTTGCCATCTTCTAAGGCAGGCAAATTATGAGTAGGTTTGCTTGTTTGTTCAATGGTACAGATCTAATAGGCTGCTGGGGACTTACTGGAGCCACTCTAATTGTGGCTATCTGGTGGAAATTGTTTAAATTATTTTAATTGTGAAAATGTAGAGCACAGGTCATGAGTTCTTCCTATTAGCCTTCCTATTAGCTTATGCAACAATTTCAGTTTTCAGAGTTAATATGACAAACAGGCTCTATAAATATATACACCACTTGCTTACAAAGCAGTTTCATCCACATTTTAATTGGTGATGCTCTTTGTTTAGAATCTGTTTTCTTCCTAGGAAAATGGAAGTCAGAGCTGATTTAAGATTTTCCAACACAAAAATTGAGATTTCATAAACAGTTACAACAGTATGGAGAAATGCTGGCCCTGATTTAGTGTTGGCGCATATGAGCAGCTCTCTGAAAAGCAAGGTATATCCACAGGAAGGGCACCTAAACTGAGCTCCCCACAGAACATCTGGTCACCCCCAAATACTGCACTTTGGACAGGAATGTGTACAGCCAAGGCAGCTGGAGTGGGCAGAGGAACTGTGTATGTGGAACTTGCCTGTGCACTCAGTTCTGTATCTTAGAAGAAATACACAGAAGTCTGTTCTTACCCATGAACAGGGGAATCTGCTTGGGATTTTTTACTTCTAGGTGGAACTTCCCATATGAAGCATTCCATTGAAGAGGCATCATACTTCAGTGGTAGAACATATAATCTTGGCCTGCCTAGTGTCCTAGATCCAGTACCTTTAAAAAGGACCAGGTGTAGCAGATACTGTGAACAAACTTCTGCCTCAGACTCTGAGGCTACTTCCAAGAGCTCAGGTGACCCTGGTCTAGATGGTGAATACCTTGACCTAGCATAAAGCAGCTTGTTGTGCTCCAAAGCTCTTAGGAATGGGAGGCTGCCCTTAAAAAGGTGGGGGCTATGTGTGTATTCCGAGTTCATAATTAGGCACCAAATTAGACATTACTTTAAATCCATATCTAGCAGCTATATGAATTTGCATGTTTACTTTAGAGTAGACACATGCCCCCTAATCTAGATTAGGACCAAAGTGTGTGTGTGTGTGTGGGGGGGTAGCTTTTACTATCTGGATTAGGCCCCATGCACCTACAGTAAAGTGAAAATGAAAGGCTGCCATAGCTGCTAGATATGGATTTAAAGTAATTTGTGTTTTGGCCCTCTTTCAAGATTCTGAAAGAAGTAATGAGAGAAGCTTCATTTGCTAAAATTATCTTTGTCCGGGGCCTGTTAAAGGACCAGGCCTTCTGCCAAGAAAACAAGTTGGCAACCCTGCTGGACCTAGTCCTGTGTGAAGAAGTACCAGTCCTTCACTATAGGAAATTACATCTTCTATGACTTATTTATTGTTATTAATATAGTGCTATCCATGTACTTTGCAGTGGATTTCTTGCAGAGGAAGTTCAAGAACACAAGCCCTGCATTACTGATCTTACAAACTTAAATTAACTCAGATGTTGCCCATCTTCAGAAGTAAAATGACTAGTTGTGCTATGTAAGGCATGTACAAATGGCATTTTGGTTTCAATTTTCATGATTCCTTGACTATTTTCATAATCTGAGTTGTAAAACTGACAAAGTATCATCACAATAGTTTAAGGTGCTGTCTGGGGCCTGCTGGGAGATGTAGGCCTTTTTTTCTGTCTAAACCAGCATAGGATTGTGTCCTTAGCTTGAGCACGTGGTGAATGAGCATTAATCTTGCTTTCAGTGCATGTCATTGTTGGAGAGCCACACCAGGGTGACATTCCCTACGCAGCATTTCATCTTGATGCTTCAGCATTAAGGGAAGTTGTGGTATGCAGGTGGTTACTGCTGGTTTTAGAAATGGGGCATTCTGACAATGATACAGTGCAGCCATTGGACTTGCTGGTAGTGCGAGAGCTCCTGTGGGAACTTAGCTGCAGTACACAGGTGCTTATCTTCACCTTTTGCAAAGCTTGAAGGATCATTGTCTATCTCTTGGGAGATGTGCCTGACATTAACTTAGTATGGGAAAGTATGCTATATGCTTTCCTGTGCATTAAGTTTAAATTCAGCATTTTGAAAACTGTTCAGTGGTTACTGTGTAAAAGTGCATTGTTATGTTAAAAATATACCAGATTGCAGAATGGAAAAACATTTATGTTAGTATTTTATTTGCAAATGCAACAATAAACAAAAGACAAGTGAATGCAAGAGAAAGAGAAAATGAAAGAATCATACTATAAAATATAACTATGTCCAATGATCGTTACATCACCCTTAATATAAAAAGGAGGTGGAAAGGATCTAACACCTTCATTTCAAATATATATGTTAATATAAGCAGTTCAGAGCCTGGTACAGTTACAATATGAAGACAATCTCAAACTCGGTCTGAACTAAAACCAGGATTGAGCCTTAACCTTTTAAAATGAACCTAAAGTATTGTTTCAAAATCCCTGTTGAACTCAAACCAAAGAATATCTGCAGAAGACTACAAAAATTGTAATTACTAATTCAGAATTAGGTTTAGGGTTGGTGAAAAAGCCCAAACTGAGATACTTGCTGGAATGAATTATAAGCAAATTAAATAGTTATCCTGGAAGATTTTAAATGTTTTGGGCTTGTCCAGGCATCAGTACTAACTATGCTTGGCAAGCAGGATGAAAACCTACTATTTTAAGCCTGTGGCCTACTGTAGAGAAGACTGTGAAGATTAAATGTTAACTTGTTACCTTATAAACAAAACTGAAGTGTTTCAGGTATGCCAATGGGTAACTGAACCTCTTATTATTTGAACCTGTGCAAATTCAGTCATGGCTAAATGGGGAAGAATGAAATCACAATTTTGATAAAATATGGGAAACACTGGCAGGATTTTTTGTATTCTTAAGCCAAAACTAAAAAGATGTGCCAATCAAGGCTAAATTAAGCAACATATGATGCTATATACTAATGTATACAGGTATGCTTACTTTGTATCATTCTGCTTTTGATAGGTATGGGAAGAGGAAATACCTTTGCCCCAACTGGCCTCAGAAGAAGCTTTTTGCAAAGATAATCGAGAGAAAGAACTGAAGAGGATAGAGTATTGGTTTTGAGGAAAGGGTCACAGTGGGAGAACATCTGGTGTGCATACAGAATGTCTCATGTTTAATCCATGGAATATGTAGTTAAATAGACAGGGCTCTGAAGCATCCTTCCTCGACCTGGTGCCCTTGAGATGTTTTGGACTACAACTCCCATCATAGGGTAGCAGGTGTGTAATGGAACCAGGCATAGACACAAACTAGGCAGAGTTGTATTTCCATATCCCTAAATACATGTAAACAAAACCATTGATCTATGTCAGATTAGATCAGAGTCCCAGATCATTTTGGGTTCAACCTTGTCAAGGACCTTTAAATCCCTGCTTACATTTTTCCAAGTCTCAAGCAGGTAGCAGAAACAGATTTAACCAGCTGTTGGTGGGCTTCCAGACATGGCTGGTCAGCTGTGTTTGACTTGTTGAGTGACAGATTGCTTGACCCTGCTCTAAGCTGTATGCTTAAATCCATAAGATTATTCTGATTATTCCATAACAAAAGCAGCAGTTTCTTACCTTGTCTGCAATTGGCTGCCTCCCCTTAGAAAAGTGGCTCAAAAAGTGATGGTTACAGCAGTGGCCCCAAAGTCTTGTTCAGTTTATCATAAGTGCTCCAGATTGTTGATTCAGAGGCAACTCAAAAGTATGACCCTCCCCTCCCAAATCTAATAGTCACATTAGCAGAGGTAGGCATTCCTTATTTATTCTAGGAATTCCTTTTCCTGTTGTCAGTTCTCTTATTTAGTCTTTGATTAACCAGTAATGATTACCTCAAGAAATCAAATAATAAGGCAATTTAAAAGAATAGTTATGTTAGGATTAGCTGAGTTAGTTTTGAGTTTAAAGAAGGCTGTTGCTATCAGCTTTTCTGGAAATCATCAGATATGGGTAATCTGCTAAAGGTTTTTTTTGTTGTTGTTGTATATGTCAACTTGTCCTATCACTGAAGGCTGTACTTCTCTGTAATTTGGATGCAAACAGGGATTGTGCTGTGCCTCAGTGCACAGAGTGAAAGGCACCCTTTGTTTCAAAAGTGGTTAAAATGCAGAAATGTCAGCTGTAGGGATTGCTAAGCCCAAAGCAAAGTGTAGCTTTAGGGGATAGCAACTGGAGATGCTTGGGTCACATCCAGTCCTCTGACAGATGTCACTTGGACTCCAACCTGGATGTGGTATATAAAAAGTGCCATTTGTTGGCAAACCAAATTGAGTAAAGGACTTAAACTTGACTCTTCACCCCTCTCTATCTTCTCAGTAACCCCTCAGGAGAAGTGGTGGCTGAACAAGGGTGTAGCATATAATAGTACATCCTAATTGCATCACCCAGGAGATGCATTAGTGAAATGTTTTCCTCATTTACTATCGGAAGTTGCATGCATCCCTTTTGCCTTTTCCTCAACAGCTGTGTCCCCCAACAGGACTTCTTCCAACTGTTTAGTCATTTGACCTTTTATGAAAGCCTGATTTAAGTACAATTTAGAGGCAGCAGCATAAAATGAAATTCTCCCTCTGTGCTTGAGGAAGTTTATAGTTTGTTTGGTGAAACACACTGAGTAGCACTGAAATAAGGTTGCACTCTTTTACTAATCCAAAAAGGTTTGAGTGAAGTAAATAAGTTTATCTGAAGGCAAATTCTGCATTCAGTGAAAAAGCTCATGGTCAACATCTCACAAAAGGAAAGAAAAATATAACTTTGGAAAATATTTAGCACAATGTAAAACGCAAACCTATTATGTTCTATGGGATCAATGCTCAAGAACATGTGCACAGTATTTCAGGTGCAAGAACCTTTCCGATCTGTGGCTTTGTTCCTGAGATAATGGCCTGGCTTGCACATAATGCTAAGCCATTGTGTGGTTTGTTGCAATTATAGCTTGTCCTTAACTTGTTGGTGCTGCTGACTTCTGTGAAATACTGGTGCCCAGCAAAAACAAAACAAAAATGCGCTTTTGGCTCTCGACATTGCAACAGAAGAATAAAAAATGCACTTTTGGCAAAATGGGTGGGGAAAAACAAACCAGAAATAGGGAAAGCAAGCCCACAATTGGTTTGTTCATCTGCAAGACATTTCATGGCTAAAGCAATAAGCCATGGGAAACATAAACCATGACGTGAGGTTATGTGTAAGTGTAGCTATTGTATTTTCTGACTAGTTGAATTTCATGTATTAAACTTAAAATATGGGAGTGATGTTGCTGTATTGCTTGTGTAGGTGGATTAGGAGTAACTGACCAAGACAGGGATCTTGGGGTTGTGGTCGACCGCTAAATGAAAATGTCAACCTAACACATGGCCATTGTGAAATAACAAATTCCAAATTACTGGGAAGGCACTGAAAATAACACTTCCAATGTCATATTGCCCTTCTACAAATCTATGGTGTGACCACACTAAGAATATTGTGTACAGCTCTGGTCACTGCACCTAAAAATGATATTGTAGAGGTGGAAAAAATACAGAAAAGTAAATGGATAAAGTAGTTTTCTATGAGGAAAGGTGAGATTGTTTAGCTTAGAAAAAAGACAATAGAAAACATGATTGAAGTACACAGAATTCCATGTGGTTTGAAGTACAGAAGGAGACATTTTTCTTCCTCTTTCATAGTATCATAACCTGGGCTCATCCTATGAAACTGATTTGTAGGGGGTTTTGGACAAATAAAAGGAAGGACTTCTTCACAGTGCATTATTAAACTGTGGAATTCACTCCTACAAGATGTAGTCTGATCCTGCATGGGTCTTATGCTCTTAAAGTGCTTGCATAAGGTCTGTCAGGTCCAGGGCTGGGAAAAGCCTGACTGTTGAACTCCCAGTTTCCATTAGTCACTAAGGTCAAGGATGATGGGAATTACCCAAGACCTTCTGGTGGGCTGCACATTCCTCACCCATGTATATTGCCTGTGATACCTGTAGCAGTTAGTTTTGAAATTCCTCTCCATCCCTTCATGTCTGTATCATACTGTGACCCCCCATTTTAATATTTTTATTGTTCTGTTGTAATAGCAAGAGCTTTTCTGTTATATTTTCTATATAATCTTAAAAGAGAAAAGGATAAAGAACTATACACACAGTTCCTTAGTTTAAACTATAAAAACCCAGGCCTAGGAATCAAATCAAGCCCTACAAACTTTTGTAATGATCACGGTACCTTCTTCCAACCACTGTTTGGTGGTTCTGGCTTTTGTGCAGTTTCTTCTCACATTCCCAAAGCTCAAAATGCTGCTTAGTTGCTGGCAACATTATGGTATTTTTTGAAACTTGGTTTTTCCCCTTTTGCTTTTGATTCTGCTTCTTTTCCTCTGAGCCCAGTTAAACACTGGAATGTGGCTCCCCAAGAGCTTCACCCAAATGGTATTTGACCTTCAGCCTGAAAGGTACCTTAGTTAGACACCTTAATAACCCTTGCAAAAACACTAGGGCAGTCAAGTGAGATGAAAGAAAGGCGAGAGTGGAAAAAGTTTGTTGTGTGGTTAAACTTGCTAAGAATACTGAAAGTGCTTTGCATCGAAGTGCCATGTGAATGCTTAGCAATAATACAGGAGTAATCAGGAATGATACAGATGGTGATCTGGTTGATGAACTCTTGTCTGTGTTTCTGTTCTTCCGTAAATGAAAAGTTCATGAAATTTAGCTGCAGCAAAATATCTTAGACATAGTAGTTCTTTTCTTACTGCGGTGATTGACTTTCAACATCCATAACTTTTGAATTCTGAATGAATTGATGAGCAAAGCCTTTTTTCATCTGCTCCTAGAAGAAAAGATTTGGTGGTGTGGAAGTATTACATTATGGCTATTTTAACAAATTCAAAATAAAGATGGTAACATTGCCACCCAGTGTGGCTGCCCAGAACCCTCTGAACTCAGAGAATTATGGGCATCCTAAGAATGCTGGAAGGAGTGTAGAAGTGAAAGTTGCCTCCTTAAAAGATCTAGATGGCCAGGTTTGGTCATCTACATCTCTTGTGCCTGCTCATCAGGAAGAGAGGCTGGTAATTAGGAAGAGTCAGTGCATCCTCGTAAGCCTTAGTTATCCCATCCCCATTCCCCTGAACTCTTCCCCCACCCCAGCACTGGTTCTGAGGTTGATTGTCCAAACCTGGAGCTATAGCCACCACAGCTCTTTCTATGCCCGCTTCTCAAAATTCAGAATCCCAGCCCTGACCTTAGAGAGCATTTCCAAAGTTGGAGCTGGGGTTTCCAATTTTCCTATGACCATCTAACTTTTGTCTAGCAGCCATAGAATTGAATTCTAAGAAGACTTTTGTTGTAGCATACACTGGTCTATTAAAACTACGTAATCCTACATCTTAGAGCACAATTAACTGATTTTAGATCAAGGCAGTGTTGAATGAATTGATTCAAATCATGATTGCAATTGCCAAGGAAAAAGATGGATTTAAATTATAGATTTAAGTTAGGTTTCCCATCTTGAAATTAATATATTTGCTGAATGCATTCGCATATCAATTAATTGTTATAAGAGTAAGAACAGTACTTCAACTAAAAATAGCCTTTGGTGTGGTCTTTTACATTGTCTCTTTTTGCAGCACTTAGTATATTTTAGAAGTTGTTACTATGGTGATAATAAAACATGTGTTTGAGAAATAGCAAGTCAGCCTTAAGTTAATGTAAATGTAAGGTTTAACAAGTTTGTGCTAAATTCAGAGGTCTTTTTAAACTAAAAGCAAAATATAATTTTGAGCAATATCTATTTTTTTTAAGTCTACAATTTTACTCAGTGTTCATTTGTTCTAATCTTCTGCGCTGACCACAGCCATTCATGGAGAAGCTGTTTAACCCATTATTAGGGATTATTCAGATGAAATCTGAATTATTTGGTCATTACTTGTTTTGTGATACAGTATTTTAAACTGTGTATATTAAAAGTAGATTTCACTTAATCTTGCTACAACATCACATCTGCTGTTGAAGATGATACACAAGCTGATGTATGTTCAGATGATCCTTTTCATTATTGCTACTGCTGTAAATGTGACTTCTGACTACAGCTGCCCAGGAATTTCTGTCATTAAGATCCTTCAACAT